AACAATTTAGCAATGTTTTATCATCTAGGAAACAATACAAGTATAAATAGAATTTTTATAATTATTATATTTGTTTTTTATAACTGAATATATAAAATAAAATTTAAAAAATAATAAAATAAATGTAATTGATAAGACTACTAATATATACTATATTATAGAACATTTGACAAAAACTCTTAAAAACCATTATTTATACATTAAATATTGTTTATTGATGCATATTACTTAAAATTCAAAATTACAAGTAAATTATGTGTATGTACAACTATTAAACCTTCATGTATAAACTCGTATAACTAACTGCAGATAAATATAATCAAATATAAGATAAACATCTCATTTTAAATTTAAAAAATTTAAAATATAATTAAAATAATTATTGATTTCTAACAGAATCATTATCTTTATAAAAAAAATTATTGTTAAGCTAAAAATAAATTATTTCACTATTTGACTTAAATTAAATTATAATAAAAAAAGTAATTACAAAATTGTACAAAAAAACGAGAACTTTTAAATAGATAATTTGATATTAATATCGATATATTCTTTTAAATTTTTATGATGTCTTCTAATTTATTTTTATTTAAAAGTAAAAATATTATTTTTCTCAAAATCACATAAACAGTATTATATCAACAAAAACAGAAAATAAAACGAAACATTAAAATAAAGATGTATCTCGTTGCATTACACAAATATCATTCTAGTAATTATAAACCAATTAACAATTAATATATATAATTAAAAGAAGTTGATAATTTCCAATTGGCTACTATTAATTATTATTTTTATTAATATTAATAATAACTAATATATATTTATATTTAATAATAATAAACAACATTTAGTATTAATTGGAATTATTTAGAAAAAATAATAAAAAGCTTCTAAAATCCTATTTCAATAAATTAGCGGAAAATACCAAAAGGGCGTATATTCAAGTGGTCAACCAACAATGTATTGACCACTTCAACCATACTAGCGAGTCAAATTTTGTGGGCTACTTCTGACAAATTAAGAGGCTTTCCTTGTTGCTTCACACAATTGAAACTTCTTTTTGTCGCATATAACTTTAATACCTATTCAATCAAGTTTTTCTCCATAGATTTTTTAGCAAAACTATTTTTGGTCCATTTAATTTTTACATTTAGAAGATAAGATATTTTGACGTTTAAGTTGACCTAACAATACACGATTATTAAAAAAAAAAATTGATAAAGTAAAATATAAAACTGGGGATGGATACAGACAATGAGACGTTTGTTAGACTTAGAGATTATTTTATCAAATGTTTAGAGTTAATTACCTTTGCTTATCTTATTGGGTTATA